CTGCACTGTTTATTCTAGGCAAATTGTGAAGTATACAAGATTACATCAGGGCTACTGGGGTATTTGGAAAAAACAGTCTTTAAACTGCTACTTGTTTGTCTGTTCAAAACACTCAGAATTCTTTTGTTTTGTAGATTTTTCCAATTTGCTGGAGTTTATTAGAAAACAAAAACAAAACTAAAAAAAAAGGGGGGGTGGACGAAGGCAAATGGACAATCTCTTTTAGAAACAAACTCTAACAGTTAAATTCATCACACTGGGTGTGACCCACTATATGGTTACAATTCCCTGGCTAGTCTTCATGGCTGTATGTGAAGAGTTTGTCATAGGATATGATGTGAGCAGCGTTTCTTTAAAATAATGCTTTACCAGTCAAACATCAATGCACCTCAATAGCTGGCTAGGGGAAATATTTGCATAGTATTATGAAAGAAATAAAGCTTATTCTAGTATTAAAGAATAAGAGGAAATTTTTGTTTGCATTTATTTCAGCTCTAAAGAACTCTATATTAGTAAGATGAACCTGAAAAGCAGGAAGAGAATCTTCAGGAGCCAGGAAACTGCAATATGAAGCTCTCACTGCTTTAGTCTGACACAGTGAGATTAACAACAAACAAAAATGTAGTTTTGTATTAAAGATGTTTATCATAGATGAAATAAGTCAAAGCCCAGAATTCTGTCAAGCAGTGCCTAACAATGATTTAAAAGTCACAAAAATTTAGAAACCACACGAACATCTTGAATGGCAGCTTTCAGCCATTTTCTTCATATCAAAGTTACTATAGTTAATTTTCAAAGTCTGAGTTGGGCTGTAGACTCAGAACAGGTTAACTGTGATAGCTAAATGGTCAAAGCTTCCCTTGAGGATCTTAGATGCTGCAACTGCTTTAAGGCTGAACTTTCAAAGTCCTCCAGGTGCTAGTTCTGCTGAAATTGAAGGTAGACAAAACCTAGATTCCATCCTGTAGTGCTACTCCATCACCTGCTGAATGTAGTACAGTAGCCACAAAGGGAAAGTACAGCATCTATGCTACTGCATGTTGTCAGAAGCTTCCTAGGCCTGCCTAATTGGACAGCTTTCTGTGAGGTGTCCCTAGGTACTTGCATGTAGGGGAATGATCTGAAACGCTGCTTTGTGTTCTCCCAGATGCCTGTAATGCTGTCTGGCAAATATGCTGTGCTGCACTCAGGATCTTCAGCAGCCACCCTTTGGGCTGGGTAACTGCCTCAGGTAATGTAAAAGAACTCAGAATTCTGTAATATATTCAAACTGGATATGAAAGCAATTTAAAATTGTTTTCAACATGCCCTAAAGTACTGTATATGCTAGACTTTTGGTTTTAATATTCTCTTCGGTGATTATTTTACCCAAAAATGTCTTTCTCTGCAACAACTGGGGAGAGATCCCTTACCTTGTAACCATTGAGAAATGCAGGTTTACGCTTGATAAGATTGTTTACAGTTCTGCTGTTCACATAACAGCTGCAAACAACAGGCATAAGCAGAATAAGAGCTCTTACTTCATCCCCTAATTGGCAAGCTTCTATCTAGGTAAGCCATACCTCTTGAAATATTCTGGATTTTTGTGTCTTCCTTGGCTATTTTTGGTGTTTACATATAAAACTGAGTTGTTAAATGTTTGTTATGACTTCTTGGAAGGAGAATACATACTGGAGTTGCAAAGGCGAACAGGTAACTCTATGATAATGTTTGTCTTGGGCTGCTTTCTTCATATATCCCTGCCCAAGGCTTCTATTTTCAACATTTCTTTACATTAGAGTTGTGAAAATGTAGATACTGCATATCCTGCTTTTACAAGTAACAGGGTAAGAGAGGAAAAGACGTGTTACTGAAATTGTGAAGTTCATTCTGTAAAGGCCCAAGGTACAATAATCACAAGGGATTTGCATATAAGTCTAAACTGCTTTGTTTCTCTGTGTGTCACTTCTTCCATCTGCTCCTTTATGTCTTTTGACTATGTGTCCAGACCTATCCAGACCTACTTGTTAGTATGATCTACCCTATTTTATTTGTTCTTTTCCTCTCTAATAATTTTCCATGGTTGTATATCTAAAAGCGCTTATTCTTTTCCTTCTATTTTTAGTTTATAAACAAACAGCTAAACAAAGATAATAGAAATGCTCTACAGAATGTTTACAGTCTTTCTCACAATTAAGGCCTCAACATCAAGTTTCAGATAATCATCTTTCGGCCTTAAAAAAAAAAAAAAAGGCTTTGAAAATCCACAGTAAATTCATACACTCTACACCAGTTCATACTGAAAAAAACAGTGTTACTAATTACCTAAATCCTTGGCAGCTTCATTTCCATCATGTACAAAGAACCTCATGAATTCTGGTTTCTATTAATTCTCTTGGTTTACAGAACAAGGGATTTGACTCATTTGAAAAAAAAAAAAAACCCTAAAAAAAAAAATATTACATTTTATGCCAATGAAAATATCTTACATGGAGAAGAGCAACTCTGTGGGTTGGACCAGTGGCTGCTGATAGCAGCACTACCCTTCAAATGTACCCCAGCTAAATATATCCAGTTTTTAATTTCCATACTCATATTTACTGTTATTAGCAAGACATGACACTTCATTTTACTTCTTAAATGAGTCCTAGGAAATTGTCAGAAGAGAAGAATACCAAAAGGAAGACTTGACAAAATGCAGTCATCCAATCTTGACGGGAAGAATAAGCATTTCCTGCTTAAGTTTTTCAGTACAATGCCAGAGGAATTTATTTTTTAGCATCTTATTCATGTTAATATTTTTTAAATTGTTAAGCTTCTGTCTGTGGTGTAGTTACAACAATCTCCTGTATTGCAGTGGTCTGATAAAGAAGGTAGTTTAAAAAAGACAGAAGATTGTAATAGTAACCCAACTAGTCCCAAAGTTAGAAGAAATCAGTACTCATACAGCAGTGGCAAAATTGATCTGAGTTTCTAGCTGTAATCCAAATAGCTTCAGAACTACAGAGTCCAGCTCTGTTTCTGCAACAGCAGTTTTATCTGTAACATGGTGGTAACCAAGTCAGAATGCATTGGGTCTAGAGTGAATGTGGGCTTTAGGAGGTGCTTTTCCCACCTCCAAGCAAGAAAAATCTTCAAATCTTGAAAACTGGTTGTGGGTACAAATCAGTAGCATTTAATCCCCAATTTTAGATGAAATATTCTACTTTCTTTCTCAGTAGTTGTATGAAATGTTCACATGCAATTGAAAGGCAAACATCTTTAGGGATTTTGCCCATTATGAAAATCTCCTATATATTTTATGAAAATATTTTTATTTACTTTATGTAGGTTTGTGCAAGTCTGTATATGCTGTTTATCAAATTCACTTTTTATTAAGTTTATTTTAAAGCACTATTAAAGGAACTGGGTTTTTTTCTCCAGTATAACTCCGTCTTCATATAGAGGCATCACTTCTGGGGCAGACATTCTGGAGTCAGCCAGTGTCACTTTGTAAACCTGGTCTTCTGTTCTTTCAGATATGTTGTCAATTGTAGCAATAGTTCATCTAAAAATAGTTCCTTAATCCACCAAAAAAGCAAACAAATCTGGCTTCATATAAGAAACAAAGCATTTACTCCAAGATGATTTTTAATTCCTTTAGTATTTAGCCAGATTTTAATTGGTGATTCATTTATAGAAGTTTTCTTAACACTAGATACCTAAGCTATTAATAGTCTATCAGTTCTAATGCAAGTGTATTAACAGGATACAACTAAAAGCCAGCCCATGTTGAACAACAAACTCCTGTTGTAGACAGACCCATAGTGTCCTCTGGATTCATCTGTTATGACTTGTGACCTACCTGTCTCAGTGATTATATTTTAGAAAAGTAGTGTACCAGCTTGAAATGTCTGCTTACTTGAATGGTAAAAGCCCCTCAGGAATCAGTAAGCATATTTCATTATACCCAAGTCTCCCCTAAAAGCAACTTCTTCTTCCTTTAATAATTTCCAGTGCAGGAATGGCAGAATTCTACCAGTTGTATACTTAACGGGTAAATACCAGAAATCATAACCAACTTTCACTTTTAAGAAAGTGAAAAGCCATAATTTGCCCTGGAGTGGACTGAGAGGCTGTTAGCATTTTACCCAGAAGCCATGTTGTGGTAGAGCAAGTCCAAATTTGAACTTCTTACATGGGAATGTAAAGGTAGACTATGATCAGAACAACCCAAGAGAAGAAAAAAGGTCCCGCGAGGCTGTTAAAGCTAAGTATTAATAATGATGTTAACAGAATTGGAAGGGGGAGAAGGAGAGGGGTAGAAGGCTGTGTGGACCCTGATCTGCATTCCTTCTGCTAGACCAACAGCATGAGCAACATGGCAATGGGCTGAAGGCTCTGGGAAGACACAGCTTCCTCCTGCACATACACAGGGTTGCTGAGGAAGGAGCATTCGCTCATAAATCAGCAAGGACGGAAAGCAAGATTAATGAACTATTGGAAGTTTGCTTTCTGGCATCCTTTTTTTCTCCATAGAGCATAAGCAAAAAACCTGTTAAAATGTCAGTTTAAAGCACACCAGCTTAATCTTCTCCACTAATTTACTCAACCCAGGCCTCCTATTTAGCTGTCCAAACCCTTCCACCACCCTGGCAGTCTGTCACTTCTCCAAGGCGGTAGCTTCTTCCACCTTGTACCCACCTCACCAAGGCTACCCGTGCCCTGTGCGGTGCTACCTCAACACCCATCCCATGACTCCACGTACACCTCAGTTTACAAGTTACAGCCCGTGTCTCCTCTCCTCTTTAGAGACCTTTACCGATCCAGCCTATCCTGTCACGGCTTAAGGAAAGCTACCGAGAGCCTGCCTGGCGAACCCCGGCTGCCGGCGGGCACACCGCAGGCTCCGCTCCCCAGAGACCTGGCCCCATACACAAAGCTACAGCCCCTCTCGCCCAGGGCCAGCTCCATCTGGTACCCCCAGAGCGGCGGGTGCCAGCATCCCCGACACCTCTTTGTGCCGCGGCCCGGCCCTAGCCCCAGCCGCTCTCCCCGCCGGCCCCGCCCCGCCGCAGCCCCTCGGCAGGGCGCAGGAAGATGGCCGGGGAAGGCGGGAGCGGCGAGGCGGCGCGGAGCGGCGGAGGCCGCGGCGTTGTGGTAAATGCGAAGCGTCGCCCGGCCCGCCCCGGCCGCTTGTCCTCTACAGTGCGCGATCCTCTCCCTGACCATCTCCCCCCTTCCCCGCCGTTCCTTCCCGCCCTCCGCCGCCATGCGCGTCCCTCAGAGCCGTACCCCACGGCTGTCGCTCCCCCCGGCGCTTTGTGCTTGACCCCCCGCGCGGGCCCGGACCTTCCCTTCCCTGCCGGGCCCCGGACCCCCTCCACTCCTTGCCTTGCCTTGCTTGGCTCCCACCCGAGGCCGCCCCCAGCCCCGCCTGTACCCTCACGGAGCCTGCTCCGGGCTCCCTCAACGGCACTCGGGCCGCGGCCCCTCACTGCGCTGCCTCACGGCGCAGCCCGCTGTCCCCAGCCCTGCGGGTCTGCCAGATGGGGACGATACCCGGTCCAGCCCGGCTCCCCGGACTACGAGTGGGCAGGCTGGCCGGCTCCCCAGGCTTCACCGCGCTCCTGGTTTCCACCATGAAAACACATCCCTGAATTACCCCGGGCGGTGGCGAAGGTGGCTGTGAGCTTCACCGGGCTGCTTGAGTAACTGAGGTCAGGATGCCCAGGGATGGCGCTGACCAAAACGCTTATAGGCCTTCGGGGCCCCATGAGCGCTGTAAAAGCACGCTGTCCGGCTGCCCCTTGTGCTTCTGTGGTGGGAAGAAGCCCGGAGTTTGGCAGTGCACTTTGAGTACCAGTGGGGCTAAATAAATTGTGCAAAAATTATGTAGAGACAGAACAAGGGGGAATGGCTTTAAGCTGAAAGAGGGTATCTTTAGGTTAGATGTGAGGAAGAAATTCTTTGCTATGGGAGTAGTGAGGCACTGGCGCAGGCTGCCCAGAAGCTGTGGCTGCCTTATCCCTGACAGTGTTCAGTGCCAGGTTGGACGAGGCTTTGAGCAACCTGGTCTAGTGGAAGGTGCCCTTTCCCATGGCAGGAGGGTTGGAACTACATTATATTTAAGGTCCTTTCCAACCCAAACCACTCTATGATTCTATAAAATGAATAAATATGCTCCTTATTCTGAGGGACAAAACAGATTCTCCTGTGAAGCAAACTCCATCACTGTCACCACCTTAGGAATGTTTGTATTTTATTATGGCATTGGGATTTTAACCGAGTTATAGAACTGCTACCCAGATCATGGAGCAGAGCTGGAGGTTCTATGTAGGCAGTGTTGCGTCCTGTCTATACCAGCCTTCACTCCATCCCCTGCCAAAGAAACCTGTTGCTGTGTGTTGGAGCTCTGACTGAAACCACTGTGCACCAACCACCTCTCCTGGCACCTGTGTAATGAATGACATCTTTTTAAGTGGGTGTCTGTGTTTAGCACCAAAGCAATGTGAGGATATTGCAAAGGAGGCTGTGAATTCTCATAACTATGTTCTGCTGTACTGATTTCTTCTGCTTACTATGCATAAATGTGTGCATGTGATCCTCAACCCCTCTCTCCCCCAATCAAAAGTAAGGCTTTTGCAGCATGATTTAAGTTTACAAAGCTAGACTTCGCTAGATGCTTGCTCCTTTGTTTAATACCAAAGCAGAATCTAGATCCTTGTTGCTTTGAAGTGAGTACTGTGCTGAGACCTCACAAAAAAACTAGCAATGTTCTTCCACAGGTGTTGAGTGTCTCCAGCCTCTCCCTTAATGCCTCAAAGGAGTGCTTTTGGGTATTGACATGTATTTGTATACCTTTTTGTCTATGCTCACATCAACTTCTGAAAGACCTGATGGAGAATTTCTGCTGGGCTGCTTGAACATACCAAGCCTGAACTTTAAAAACAGACCTTTCTTTCACTGTGGGGTTGTTTTTTACACATCTGTGTACCGATATATTCAGTGTGTATATTTATTTATCCAGTTGAATGCTGTCTTTATATTGAAACAATCACAAATATTTCCTTCAGATTTTCAAGGGCTAAAGCCAGAAGTAAAAAAAAAGTTGAATTTAAAATTTAATTTGAGTTGGCTATTTTTGGATACCAGGCTATTAAACTGAGGATAATCACACTTTTTTTTAATTCACAAGCAGAATACTCATAAAAATGTAGAGTTACATGAAAATTGTCCCATTGCGTAACAGTGTGAATAGCTTTAGGGTAGATGACAATTTCTCCTTAATGTTGGGAAGTGCCTTAAAAGAAAGAAGAATATGAAATAGGCTTATCGTATTAGAAAAATAATTAATTAGAAAGTATATGTGAATTTAATCTTATTGGTCAAATGCCAGTTAGCACTTGTAGCTGAGAACCTCTGTATTATTGCAAAGAGATGCAGTTTATGTTCTTTTATTCAGATAGGATAGATAGGAGAATCAAAATTTCATCCTGATCCTGTTTCCTAAAGGACTTACTGTAACCTAAGTGAAACGTGTTGGTTTGGATGAGTTCTGAAGTTTCCATCTAGTTTAATCTTCTGCATCACACTAAACACATGGAATTGGACCAGGATGCATTAGTAGCAGTATTGACAAGGGTTCTTAGTGAGTGTTTACAGTCCTTAGGCAATTTAAAACACTATCTGAAATTGTTTCCTTTTATGTTAAGATACTTTTGGACAAAACCCTGCCAGGCAGCTCATTGCTACAAAATGTTTAAAAAGTTTCAGCCACCCTTATACGCTGAAAATGAAGATGGGAAAATAGGCTTCTCAGGCTTTGTGCAGGTGGGTTTCTGGAGCAAGATTTGCCTCTTAATTAAAAACCTTGCCAAGGAGGATATTTATAATCTCATGTTTCTGTGGAAATGAAGAACATAACTAAGTAACTTTTTTCTTTTTTCTAGTTTCAAGGCTTGTGTAAGTCCAGTGATCTCTGAGCCATGCTTTTCATGGGGGAGTGTTCAGTGGTAGTTACCAACAAAAACCTCTTTTTGGGATAAAGAAGCAGTTGGGCAGAGTTAAGAAAACACAGCAGCTGAGGCATCTGTAGATGTCGGTGAATATGCAAAAAAAAACCCAAGCAAGCAAAAATGCATGAGGTAGAACAGTGTTTCTGTACACCATGAGGCAGGGCTATGCCGAAGTTCATGAAGACTAGATGTGGAGAAACAGCTGAACATTGAATACCTTGCGTTAGCTTTGAGTTTTTTTGAGACACGATTTATTGCGCTACCACATGAAATTGCAAACGGTTTAGTTTCAATGATGGGCCTTTAAAGGTTATATTTAGCAGACATGCCATTAAGATGTGCACTTTACAAAGACAAGTTTCTCACCATTTATCCCTCTACTCAAGGTTCATGTGGGCAAGCTTTAGAAAGAAGATGTAACTTGAGGAACGTGACTGTAAAAAAACCTATTAGGTGTTGCTTTTTGTTGCGAACCGATATCGAAGCAAAGCTTTGTAAAGATTCCAAGATACCTTGTGAGCCTGCAGGTCTCATCTTTCATAAGGAATTCTGAAAATTGTTGGTTTGCAGTTTGTTTAGTTCTTGTGCTGATGAGTTTGCATCTTCATAGCCTTCTGAAGCCTTTACCTGTCGGCTTATTTTTGACCTACTTAATCCCTATTGCCACTCAGTGCTCTGGGATCTCCTAATTGTTATATCCTAATACTTACAGAACTAAAGTATATTAAATCTGTAAAATATTTTTTTTTCTGTAAATGTATGGGTTTATAGGGTGGCTAATCATAAGTTGAGAGGTAGACATTTTGTAATCACTCATCTCTGATGACTTATGTAAATTAAGAACCTCATCTTTGGCAAGAAGTACAATCTTCCACTGATTTGTACAGATACCTTCCATGAACCACATAATTTATTCTCCCTGTCCTACATGCTGTTTCATCTGTAGAATATTTATTTGTTTATGTACAACTTTAAAGTACCTCTAAACCAGAAATGTGTGATTTTAAAGTAAGATTTTACAACTTTTAATCCCCCTGTCTGAATCTCACATTGGAGAACCCCTTCTTACTAGTAATCTTACATTTGCCTTTCAAACTTTAAATTAGTAAGAGACTTAGTCTTGCCCCTAGTTTAGTACTAAATACTTATTCTGTCTAGTTGTTTGTAATTTCAGGTGAAATTTCCCACATTCTGTGGGGGAAAAAAACTGTAGCATTTGATTTCTGAGGTATACTGAGAAGCAAAATAATTAACAGGAAAAGTGAAACAGTAAATTATGAGTGGAAGAGAGTGTGTCATATGATTAATTCAGCCAATAAACTGTACTAGAACAGCCAAAAGAGTGTACTAGAACACTGATTTTATATCAGTTACATATTGTCAAACACCATGAAGTATTCTTAACAGCATTGTTTGATATTTCAGATTTCAGACAATTGGCCTGGATACAGTCTGGATTTGTTCACTTATCCTCAGCACTACTATGGAGATCTGGAATATGTGCTCATACCACATGGCATTATTGTTGACAGGTATGTGTTGGTTGAATGTTACTAAATAAATTCTTTGATCAGTAGTATTACACTATTTTATAAAGCACCTCATCCACAGACTGTGTATATGATATTTATCCTGAAATATTGTATTAGCAATTATAAAAATACTTTATTTCATTTTTCAAAACAAAAAAATACTTGAAGATTAGGAAATACCAGACTTGTAATTTATTGCTTTTACAACTCCCTGTCTAATTTCTTTCACGGAATATCTGATTTGGGTATTAAATCAGACAAGTGCCACAAAAAGGCGAGTGATCATACAGTGAAATTGTCATTGGAATGTAAACTACAAGGGAGCTGAACTCAAGGTGAAAGAGCAAGTACAAAGCTTTGAATATAGTTACACTTGAAAGTCTCACTTGCACTCTAACCATCCTGTGTTTTTAATATGAAAAGGAGAAAACCCAACATTGAGTTATGTACAACTTTGGCAACTCCCTAGTACAACTCATTAACGCCGATTAACCGCACTATTGACTTCTGCCATTCAACACAACCAAAAAGTGTGTCAGGGACTATTTGGGTCCAGGTGCTAGGTCTGGAAGGTAGCAGTGGGAAGGCTTGACCAGCCCTCATTCCTTACCTTGTTCCATGTTCTCTCCCATGTAGGCATCTGGTGGTGCTTTGGTATTTGTGCTAGTCCAGCTCAGTGTTCATGCTCTCTAACAGTTTATGATGTGTTGTTAAAAATCTTATGAAAAAGTTGCAAAATAGAAATGGTAATTTTCAACAGTGTATTTATTGGGAATGTCTGAATGAAATTTCCTGGGACATTTTCAGCATGCAGCTTTCTGTCTACCACATTTAAACAGCCAGTTGCAAGTACTGAATTCATTGGAACTCCCTGAAAGAAGGTTGTAGACATCCATCATAAGGAAGAGTTAGGGCTGCTTTATTTTTAAAACACAAGCTTTCTTTCATTGCATTTTCAGTAACCATTGTGCTGAATTTTTCATCTCTTTTGGTTAGAGTCAACTGACTCTTAATTCCTCCTTTTAAAATAAATATGTTACAACTGAAGTTCTCATAGGGTTCAATATAAATTTGTTTGAAGTAAGCAACTCTCCAGTGGTGTTTTTGTACTCCAGCAGAATGAAGGCCACTGTTTTTTCTTACTCCAGAAGAACAGACTGATACTGTTCTAATGGAAAAGGACAAAGAACTGAATATATTGTGATCATGCAAAATTTTCATGTAGGAACAAGGTTCAGCACTTGAGAAAATTCTCTAGATTGGTAGCAATTAAATATAAGTTTAAAAAATGGTATGTCTTTTATTTAGAAATTGAAATTAGTACATTTTTGTCTACACTGGAGTTCATACTCTTAAAATGTGAAACGGTCTTTGGCAGTTTTGGAAATTTCAACTCATCAGACAATCTGACGAAGAGTATATATATAAAAAAATCACTAGAGAAATGTTTCTTTTTTATGGGAGGTTTCCCCTGTTATTTTCAGACTTGATAAGAGATGATAAAAGACTGGTTTACTAATCTTCAGTAAAGGAAGTGAAAGTCATTTATTAATCTTCATTCTTATATGAGTAAAAGGAATTACGTATAAGAGGTCAAACAAGATGATCTAATGATAGCTTATATTTTTTAAATCTAAAAAATGCTAATTACTGCTGTATGGAATTTACTTGAGCATTACAAGTACAAAAATGTGATAATGAAGTGACAGCTTTTGTTCATAACTAGTATATTCAATTTAGAGCTCATTCTTCTCTGGTAAATACACACATGTAGATTTTACTGAAGCTCAATGTATTTATGTAGTGTCAAGTGGCTAGAGAAAAAGTAAAACAAAAAAATGGAATCCTGAAAGATGTGGTATATATTACAGAATGTGTATCTTTTGGGTTCTGTCATCTGTCATGATGTGTTTGAAATGCAGAATTGTCAACGAGAAGACAGATATGGGAACCCTGCAGTTCCGGGTTCTCTGGGGCATAGCCTTGATTATTCTTGTGTGCCTGACCTCAGACAAGTCACTTAAGCTGTTTTCACTTTTCTCATTTGCTGTGTGACATAGTGATAATGTACACTTTTTATGAAATTTAAGTTTAACCAGTTTGATTCACATGCTTTGCATTTTGCATCCATCACTCTCTGCCTACTGTGAACTCGATCCAGACCAAGCCAAGACACTTAAACATACTGTCATTCAAGCCACATACATAGTGTTTCTTTGTAACCACATGGAAAGCATACCATGAGCTTAGAGAATCTGCATCTAATGTTATCCTTAATTTTTTTGCCCCAGGACAGAACGATTGGCCAAAGATATTATGCAAGACATTGGAGACAATGATATTGTGGTTCTCTGTGTCCTCAAAGGTGGCTACAAGTTCTGTGCTGACCTTGTGGAGCACATTAAAAATCTCAGCAGAAATTCAGAAAGGTTCATCTCTATGAAAGTCGATTTTGTTAGACTGAAAAGTTACCACGTAAGTCAACAACTCATTTATGTGGCTTTATGTAGATTCTGGTTGTATGTTCATAATAAATAGTAGACTTTTGTAAATGGAAAACCTATTTCCTCCCCCAAATTATAGAAAAATGTGAAAAATATTTTTGTTTGAAAAACCTGCAACGTTTTCTTTCAAAATATTTGACATGTCCCTTTATGCTTTATGGATGGTATGAATAAGGATATGAAGCATCCTCAAGCTGTATCTTTTTATTTAGTCTGTCTTCACTTTCAGACAGAAAAGTCAGAATCCCATCATGTAAAATGTTGGCATGTTGTTTGTTCTCAAAATCCTCAACCGTTCTGTCAAGTTAATTTGATGTTACTTCATTTTCCATCTTCACCCCCACATAGTTTGGCATAACTGCAAGGTAATAAATCTGTGTCTTATTCTAAATGTTTAATGCTAACTAAATGAAATGCTTTCATCTTCATACCATGCAGTTTATATAGTAGCAAAATACACCACCAGATGATGATAATGTTTTATAAGAAAATTAAATAAGCCATTGAACCAAATCCAGCGTTGAAGTAAGGATCAAGACTTCCTGTTATCTTGAGAGGAAATTATGCAATAATGATTCATTTGTTTCAGTGAGGCAATGGTAGTGTGATTACTGGCCTTTCTTTAGAATGTGTGATTACAATTTCTATTTGCGCAAGCTCTACATTTATAGTCTACCTTGTAGCATAGTGAGGGCACATTTCTAGAAGTTGTCCTAGAAATATCTGAGGAAGTACACTGAACAAATGGAGTGATAATACAGTTTCTCTCTGTGCACAATGAACTTGCTGAGTCCAGTTGTTCTCACAATAACTCTATGTCCTTTCCGCAGAGTTTGTTTGTTTATATGGTTAGTTGGTTGGCATTTTGCTCTGACCCCAGTAACCATAAACTTTTCCTAACTTTCACAAATCCGTCTGATCTTTTTCTATCATGGAAGAAAAGTGGATGAGAAACTATTGTAGCCATTTGGTTAGGATTTGGAACTGGGGCCTCTCTTTCAAGAATTAGTCAGGTCTAGGAAGGACATGTGCAATACTAATATTATACAATTTCTAGCTATTTGGCAGTATTACAGAACTAATAAATAAAATAAAAAACGATGTCTCACATAAAAGCACATGGAAATCATACAATCTTCTTTTTCTTTTTTTTTTTTTTTTTGTGTAACAATGACAGCATTTCAGTAATACTGACTGATGAATATTGGAATTACTTAAATGTTTTTTTATATTGTATTTGGCATATAGGTAATACACGTGCTTTTCCTATTGTGATATCTCTTACCCAGTACGAAGATAACCTGGTTCTAAAATTTCTTTTCTTCGTGACAGGTCAACTCTTATTATGCATACTATCCCATAACCAGTGAGTGGCAGGAGATGTGTACCATAAAAGTTTGGAAACTTTCACATCATTGCTTAGGAAATCAAATAAAAGCATGCTATTATCAAGCTGAAACTGCAATACAAATTTTGTTTTGCAAGGATATCATTATCAAGACTAAGTCCTAGGTATCACTATCAAGACTAAGTCCTAGATAGCTTCTAGTGGCTGTGCATATTTTGGATCTTAGCCTCATGTTTTAGTAGGAAGGTGGCACCTTCCCTAGAACTAGTGCTTGCATCTAGTTTTTAGAAAATAAATAATTTTTTTCTTATAAGTGCTTCCAAACAGGTCTCATGTGTTTAGAGCCTGAAACTGTGCTTGATGGAGTGCTTGGAACAGTGCTTGACACCTGCCTGGTCTTGAGAAGCTAAATGAAGCAGTCAATATAAATTTGAAATGACATTGATACTGGCAGATTTGTTCCATGAGATATGCATAAACGTAATGCTGACTAAAGTACCAGTACTGCTACCTGCCATCCTTTGTATTTTGAGTTATTGTTGTGTCCTATCCAGGTTTTAGAGAAAGTACCCTTGTCAACATAGTTGTGGTCAGAACACTTGAGGAACTTGCTGTTGTAGTTTGACTGACTCTATCCTAACCTTATATGAGACTCTCAAATCCCCCATGTCACTTTATTCTGTAATAACATACCTTTCACACTGTTTTACACTTTAATTAGAGGCAAATAACTACAGTCTTATAGGTAATACTTACACATGGAGTCTTGGACCATCACCAGTTCCACTTCTTATCTTCTCTTTGCCTTTTCTGTTCCATTTCCTGTTAAGACTTACTACTGCTCTCTCCTTTTATCCTTTTTTAATTTAATAGACTGCTCTTCTCGTATTATTTATCCTGCTTACTTTTACTAACTGTTCTCTGTTTCTCTCCTAAAGGGAGTCCTGCTGCTCTCAATATACTTCCTTCAGACATGTCTCCCTTCCCCCCTCCAGCTGTTTAAATCCAACAACTAATTTCAGCTCAAACTCATGGGATTTTCGAATTGTTTCATTCCAACTTCAATCCTGAAAGGTTAGTTGATTTTTAAAGGTTGCAATAGAAAGTGGGATTTCTTGGTTTAATTGTGTAGCAAAAATAAGTGGTAACTGTGACCCAAAGTCAGATCTTGGCATCAGTGAAAGTATATCTTAACTGCAAAGTATCAGTGGAAAATGTTGTACTTTGATGTCTGGCATACAGACGTGACTACAGAAAAGGAGATGGCAAATCTGACATGACTTTTTGTTTTTCGAACCTGTCATCATATTCCAGAATTTAGAACTGTAATTAGTATGTTAAGATCTGCTTTCATATTATGTAGCTGAAAGTTGGGCATGTAAATCGGTTTTTAGACTTCTTCATAAAAATTAATTTATTAAAAAAAAAAACATAATACATATAGATTCTTAGGACATTAATGAGGTGAGTGGTTGCTTGTACTTCTGTGGTCAGGATGGTTTTATCTGGCTTGAGAAGTCTGACTTACATGCATAAGCCTGGTCACACTTTCCTGTGTTTTATAAGTGGTGTCTTGTTTCATTATCTTAAACTGGCATGTCAGATTACTGAATGTAGTATACAGGTAATATGGGAAAACACCATTAGATTATTACTTTTAGAGGAAACAAAGTGGAATCCAACTTAGGAAAACATAGCCTAAAAATAATGTGGTTGTACTGTATATAATGTTTATATTCTACAGATATCAGTATTAGTTCCTAGACCTTCAATAGAATTTCTGCAGCTGCAACTGGAGGTGCAGCCCTGTCTGAAAGCATATTTTTGATTCCTCTAGAAACTGAACTGTATTTTTCCATTTCTTTAGATTGGGGTGGGGGTTTGGGGGTTTTGGGGGATTTGTTTGGTTTGGGTTTTTTTCCTTTTTTTCACTAGAATGCTAAAATGATTCAGTAGAGAAAGTTAAGTTTACACATGTGAACAGGAACTTACAGGCCCAGGTGTAGATTGAGAAAAAATTCAGTGTGCTTAATTGTAAACAACGTTTATATCAGTAAATCGAGAAATAGACAATTTACAAAGAAACACAATAACAGTTTGTAACTCAAGTTTTTAAGGCTTCTTAATCAGTAAGAATGGTAATAAAAATAACTGTGAAATGGGAAAGAATCATGACTGGAAGAAAGATGGATAGTTTTCCTCCATAAAATAGGATTTTTGGAGAATGCTGTTTCTTGTAAACTTACAGGTGATACAACGCACTTGTTCTCATTTTAATTTTGTGTATTTATGTGAGTTCAAAATAAGGAGACTGTTTAGGTGGGGATTTGATTAGAGGCTGTATGGTGATTTTACAGGCTTCTAGCACAGCAGGCAAGTTAAAAGAAAACACCATCATGAGAGTCAGAATATGTGATTTCAGAAATAAGCATATGGAAGTACCATATAGACTTAAAGGTAAGAGTCAGGAATAGATGAAGACAAAAATAAAGTCTAATGATGGAAATTTGAATGAGAAGCAGCAGCTCTCAGTTTTAAGAGGCAGAGAATAGAAAACATACACTTTTCTGAAACTCAAGAGTAGTGAGGCAGTAAGTATAGTGGGTAGACACGGAAGTACTAGAATAGTACTCACATGAAATATGATGCAGGTGTGGAAATCTGAATGTCAGGTTTTGGTAGAAGACAATGTATTCTGGAAACACTGACATAAGAGCTGATAGAATTTGGCAGTTAGCAACAGTGGAACTGACTGCAGAGTTCTGAGTTTAAAACTGGATTAATAAAATTTAATATATTCAATTTTCACTATACCAGAATTTTCTTGAGTGATTGCTCCTCCATCAGAGCTCTGATGTTGAAAAGAGTTGAGAGTTTCAGGTTGATAGAAGAATTCAAAATTATTTTCAGAAACATGCTGGGTTGAATTCAAGGATGAAAAGTGATGGAGGAAGAAGTTAGGCTTGGGAATGTCATATAAGGAGAATATGACACCAACAGGAGAGGTAAGAAACAGGGATCCAGAAATTCTTTAGTATGTTTGGGATATTGATACCTTTAGCAGATTAAAGAACTAATAAGGAAGAATACAGAAGGAAGTACAACAAAGAAAGCAGGAACATATTTTACTAGGGTGTTTACAAATTAAGGGGTAGGACTAGATAAGAAAGAATGTTTGAGGATAAACCTCAAAGAGTGAACAGAAGGATAAAAGGACGTCGATATCATGAAGAGAAGGGCTGAATGTGGTGGTTTAGTAAAAAAAACGTAGCGTAAGAAGCATAGCTGAAGAATGTTCACAAGCAATAATTACAGTTTCTCTTTGTTCAGTTTTGAAGAGACAGTCTAGGACATGCTGATAAAGGTAAAGGTTGAAATAGAGACAGAAGAGTATGTTCTGGCTCATCAAATCTACTCCCCTAGTAATAGATGCAACAGTATCGCCTAATCCTGTTGAATGGGTGTGACAAACATGATCTTTAAACCACAGTTCAATTTTGAAATTAAGTTGGAAAAAAAACAAAAAACAAAAAAAAAAAACACAAACCACAACCACACAAAAAAAAATGTGAATTAAAACTTCTCTAGTGGACAGATAATGGAAACTAAAAATTGAAAGACTC